TGTACTTCCCTGACACCTGGTGTGGTTTTTTGTCTTTTACATTCATTGATTGTTGTTATATAGAGGTGAATATTTCCATGTATACTTCTGCTACAGATGTATTGATTAGGCTGATTTCATCTATATATATACCATGTGTGTTTGTGTTCAACATGTCAGGGAATGATGATATTTTATTAAACTTGAAATATGTTTATGTGAGTTTAAAGTATTCGTACTATCTGACCCTGCCGAATCAGAATAACTGAATTTTATGTTTGCATTCATACTAATCAAGTTACTAATTCAAATCATGTTGGGATGTGCTGGTACACTCAAGATCTAGAAATACTTTCTATGAAATTAAAAAATAAATTTGTGTGATATTAATTGTTCAATCTTTGTTTGAAAAAACTCTCATGCATTAATTGGTAACATGTGACTTTATACTGTCTTTAACAGGGGATATGAAAATACGGTATTATAACAGTAGAAATGTATTTTTTATTGGGAGTTTCTTTATTATATAAAGTTATTATGATGTATTTACTTATGTTAGTGGACTTTCTTTCTGTTCGTGACTAGGATGTGAATTTAGAGTTTGTTTCTGTGTGAAACAGAAGTGACTGAACCTTTGTTGGAGAAGTTGAGTTTTTTGTCGCGTTATGGTCTAAATGGAAATGTACTTTTCTCTCAGACTCTCATGCTTATTTTTGGCCAGAATATGTAACTTGGGTTTGTTTTTATTCTCCTTTGTCTCATAGATTGTTCTTGCCGTGATTTTCGGATGTTTTGAAACTTTGAAGATAAAATATCTGTTTCAGTTAGCCCTGTTAAAAAATAGTTCACGTAAACTGCTGAACACCGCCTGGTGTATTAAGTGGCAACACTCTGTCCTTAAACCTAAACAAAATGCTGTAAACATTGAAGTTTAAAATTGGGTATTAAATCCTATAGAGGTAACTGGTATGAGAAACGTAGTTATGTGAAGACATTCCCGTACAGTAGTTACTCACCAGTATGAGGTAATGTATATATAGTAAAGGATCCTTTTGAATGTTCGATCGTAGCTACTCGGGGGACATGTAATGTGGAATGATATTATTTGTTTTAAAAGTTAGAGAAACCGTCGTGTTAAGAATTTTTCAGATATTTGGATCTGAATTACATTATTCTGTAAAATTACTTGTATTAAATTCTCTGAATTTAGATGAAGACTGGGAAATATCTCTTTATGGAAACCGTCATCTAAAAAATGCTTTGGTTGTTTTGCTCTGATACAGCTAAAAAAGTACTGTCAAGTTCTGTTGGAATTTTTAAAAACATTCTTATTGTTTCTGCTTCGATGATTAACGGTTTTCCACACATACTTAGAAACACTGAAGTTGCAAACGTATTATTTATATACTTTACAAGAGTATACAGCTTAGCAGGACATAAGACAGTCTTGTAACCAATGTCTGATTAGATAATAGAAACAGTTGATATATTAGCCACTTTATACATGTATAAAGCCTTGATCACGGTGTAATAATCACAATTTTTAAAACCAGAATTTGTACGATAAAAGACTGCGAGATTGTCTCTAATTTTAATCTTCAGGTATTGTTACTTTTTATAGGAATACATCGGTCTCTTTGGTGCCTCCTCCGATTTAGAAGGAAATATTTAAAAGGATGAGGAAAAGAACTCTTATTATTTTAGGTAAGCTTATTTGTGAAATAAACTATTGGTGTTTTTAAATGTTACATACTAAATCATTTAATGAATGGAATCAATAATGATTAGAGATT